GTTCTCTGTGTATTTTTGCCACCTCTTCTTAATATCTTCTGCTTCTGTGAGGTCCATAACATTTCTGTCCTTTATTGAGCCCATCTTTGCATGAAATGACCAACTGTCCTATGTCCTGAGAAACTCCTGAAAGTGAAAGTTGCTCATTGGTATTCGACTCTTTGCAACCCCGTGTTCTATACAGTCCATGGAATTCTCCAGGCCAGAATACTGGAGTGGGTAGCCTTTCCCTTCTCCAGGACATCTTCCCACCCCAGGGATCGAACCCAGGTCTTCCATATTGCAGGCGGATTCTTTACCAGTTGAGCCACAAGGGAAGCAAAGAGTCGGACACAACTGAGCGACTGAACTGAACTGAACTTGCCTGAATTGTTCCCTTGGTATCTCTGATTTTCTTGAAGAGATCTCTAGTCTTTCCCATTCTATTGTTTTCCTCTATTTGCACTGATCATTCAGGAAGCCTTTCTTATCTCTCCTTGCTATTCTTTGGAACTCTGCGTTCACATGGGTATATCTTTCCTTTTCTCCCTTACTTTTCACTTCTCTTCTTTTCACAGCTATTTGTAAGGCCTTCTCAGACAGCCACCTTGCTTTTTTTGCATTTCTTTTTCTTAGGGATGGCCTTGATTCCTGTCTCCTGTACAATGTCACAAACCTCTGTCCATAGTTCATCGGGCTCTCTGTGTATCAGAGCTTATTTAATTACTGCATATTTGACTTGTTTTTAAACTTTTATGTCATTACAAGGATTTGGACTGTGCTAAACAATCAGCATTTTCGGACAGGCATGCCTCATTCTACAGAATTCACTTCCTGAGTGTAGAAGGGAACTGCTCTAGGTAGGAACTGAAAAGCCATAGGGTGTGGGGACTATGAATGAAGGAAGTTAAACCTTTCTAGAAAAGGAATCTATAGCAAGGAGTTGAGAGTGGAGTTGGGGGGGGCTGTTAATATATCTGTGAAAAACTTCATGATAAAACAAAGCAATTTCAGAGATCACTAGAATAAATATTGACTGCATTTCACATTTATTGCCTTTGTAAAAGAAAAAAAAAGTGGGAGTGTTGTAAAACTTATTACCACTAGACATTCTGTTCTTAAGAACATTTCAGATTTTTCTTTTCCTTGTTAGTTTTAGGAACATACATCCATTTTGCAAAATTTTAGGTTACATGCATACTAATTTACTCTGGGAATGAATCCAGGTCTAAATAACCAGTACCTTCCTGCTTTTAATCTAGAGTTGGCTTGTGCCTACCTGTCCTAAAGCAGCTGCAGGGATACCATTATTTGCACAGAGTTCCTCTCTCTCCTTCCTCCTGACAAACACCGTTTACTACTTTGTATTTCCCAAGGTGTCATTGAACAACCGTTACTTTCCTTTTTAAATTTCAAGACCCACTCTCCCCTTTTACTATTTCATAATTCAGTTATATTAGAATTAAAACTCTTACTGTTAAAAATATATACTTCATAGGAAACTTTAAATTTCCTAGACCTTAATTTTATTTCAGCTAATAAGTGTCTTGTAAAGAGCTGTCCAATAAGTAGTCCATCATCCATTCCAGATAAGTACTATACCCATAAACAGCATTTTGTTGCTATGGGGAGTATACAGAGAAATATATCCCAGGACTCAACACTGAAAAATGCTGAATTTCATTTAGGGTAAAGCAAACAGATTACTTTTCTTTTCCTAGACAGTATGAATTTTGTAACTGATATTATCACAGAATTCTCTAAGAGCCTTGGCCTCTTAGAGGTTTAGAGATTATATTCACTCGTTAAGTCGTGTCTAGCTCTTCATGACCTCATGTAGCACACCAGGCTTCCATGTCCTTCACCATCTCCCAGAGGCTGCTCAAACTAATGTTTATTGATTCAGTGATGCCATCCAACCATCTCGTCCTCTGTCATCCCCTCTCCTCCTGCCCTCAATCTTTTCCAGCATCAGGGTCTTTTCAAACGAGCCAGCTCTTCGCATCAGGTTGCCAAAGTATTGGAGCTTCAGCTTCAGCATCAGTCCTTCCAATGAATATTCAGGACTGATTTCCTTTAGGATGGACTAGTTGAATCTCCTTGCTGTCCAAGGGACTTTCAAGAGTCTTCTCCAGCACTAGTTCAAAAGTATCAATCCTTAGGTGCTCAGCCTTCTTTATAGTCCAACTCTCACATCTGTACATGAATACCAAAGAATCCATAGCTTTGACTATATGGACCTTTGTCGGCAAAGTGATGTCTCTGCTTTTTAATATGCAGATTGTATGATTTGCATATTTATCTGTTAATCTTACCTACTCATTATCTTGCTAAACCTTTGTTTCTACTCCTCAATTATTATTTGCTATTATAATATATACACACATAGAGACATACATACATATATGACAATCATGTTGAAATATAAATTTTAAAATCACATTAAATCATTTGTGAAATGGGGTAGGATATGATATATCAATGTAAGAAGCAAGTGCTCTTACCAAGTGCTTCCTACCTGCCAGCCTCTGGACTGGGCACCCTTACAGGCAATCTCAACTCCAATATACGGCATTTAGTTGCTCAAAAAAATAGATCCTTGATACTCAATCTCTGAACAGAAACTAGCCATTATAGGCCTACACTTTCTGCAACAGGAGGAAGTGGGGAGAAACTCAGTGATAACCCTGGGTGGGCCAGGCAGGAGGGCACTGGAAAAGATGCTCAGCATCACTCGTTATTGGAGGAAGGCAAATCAAAACCAGAACGAGGCAGCACCTCCCACTGGTCAGAACAGCCATCCTCAAAGCGTCCACACACAATAAAGGTTGGAGAGGGTGTGGAGAAAAGGGCCCCCTCCTACCCTTCTCACAGGCATGTCAGGCAGTATAGCCAGCATGGAGGGCAGTGTGGAGATTTCTTTTAAACAGCTAAAAACGGAACTCCCATACGGTTCTTGCAACGCCACTCCTGGGCGCACCTCCAGAGACAATGGACAATGATCCACGCACCCCTGGGTTCACAGTATCCAGGAAATGGAAGCAACCTAGATGCCCATCAGCAGAGGAATGGATGAAGAATGTGTGGCACGTATACACCATGAAACATACTCAGTTATATAAAAAGAAGGAAATTATGCCATTTGCGGCAACATGATGGGACTAGAGATCATCATATTGAGTGAAGTAAGTCAGAGAGGGAAAGACAAAGATCATATGATATCGCTTATATGTGGGATCTAAAAACAAATGAACTTATTTACAAAACAGAAAGAGTCACAGACGTAGAAAACAAACTTATGGTCACCAGAGGGGAAGGCAGATGGCGGGGAAGAGAGAAGTTGGGAGACTGGGGTTGACATATACGCACTATAGGCCGCTGATAAGGACCTTCTGTACAGCACAGGAAACTCTACCCAAGACTCTGGAATGGCCTATATTGGAAAAGAATCTAAAAAAGAGTGGATATGTGTTCATGTATAATTTGACGCACTGTGTGGTACTGCAGAAACTAACACAGCACTATAAATCAACTACACTCCAATGAAAGTTTTTTAAAGATTAGACCACCTGCTCTGGTACACATCTTCCTTCTGCCACTGGGTAATTCTTTTTTATTCTCTGTGATCTTAACGCTACCTCTAGCATAATGTTGGCTTAATATATGATGGCACAGAAAAAGGGCCCAGAAAACTATAATCACTATCGTGCACAGCAAAATTTAATAAGAACTAAATTAAAAAGTCACAACAACAACACAGTAGGCAAGGCATCAAGTTTAAGTTGTGGTGTTCTAAAACAGTAATACTTTTCCATTGCTTTGGAATTTCTCTGTTTATTCACTTGCACTACTTGAATTAGTCACTCACCAGAAGGCTGAATCCTGCAGACCCATCAAGTTCATCAAATCCTTGTACTTTTTTCTCTCTCTTGTCACATTGAGTGATAGGAAATATATAAATGGGGAGAAGTAAAGCAAGCAGTAAAAAATGAACATCTCACTTTGAAGGTTCTCCTTAAAGATAAAGGGTAGCGTCTTCATATTTACAGCAGTAACTGACATCAACTCCTCCATCACAGAGTGATTTGTTGTCGTCTAAAGAAGAATTCAAATGAACAAAATCATTAAAGTATAGACACTGCTGAGATCTGAATAAGCTATGGAGCTTGTGCCCCGGTACATTTCCTGTTTTGTGAACATACTGTTTTGTGGTTATGCAAGATGTTACTTTCAGGAGAAACTAGATGAAGAATAGGTGGGTGCCTCCCTGTATATTGTTTTTGAAACTTTCTAAAACTACTTGAAAATTTAAAGTTAAAAACAAAATGTACTCCTTCACCTAAATGTCAATTTTACCATTTGGATACCCAGTTCATTATATAAACACATGAAGACCTGAGTAGACATCATCTTTCATCAAACCTTGATGCCTCTGGAATTAGCTCACTTCAATTATTAGGACTTTTCTTACTTGTATAATAGCAGCATTAATGGCAGCTTGTAAAGGCACGAATCCTCCTTTCCAGTATTTCTCCAGTGCACAGGAAAAGTCATTAATATTTGTACCCCGGCAGTAAGCTATAATCACACACAAAGAAAGAAGAACCAATATTATGGAAGGAAAAGTCACTAGTATCTGTACTCTAGCAATGAGCTAAGGAAATGGCAACCCACTCCAGTGTTCTTGCCTGAAGAATCCCATGGACGGAGGAGCCTGGTGGGCTACAGTCCATGGGGTTGCAAGAGTCGGGCACAACTGAGCGAAATGAGAAGGAGGGGGAGCAATAAGCTATCAGCTCAAAAAAATAAATAAATAAAAGGAAAAAGCAGAACCAACAGTATGGGAGTAAGGCGATTGAAAAATAAGATACGAGAATCCAAGAGAAAATGCTCTAGAGGAGCCTTCACCAGGCAGGACTTTTTTTGGTTTTTCTTTTTTTAATTAATTAATTTATTTTAACTGGAGGCTGATTACTTTACAGTATTGTAGTGCTTTTTTGCCATGCATCCACATGAATCAGCCATGGGTGTACCTGTGTCCCCCATCCTGAGTGGGAATGCAAACTAGTGCAGCCGCTATGGAGAACAGTGTGGAGATTCCTTAAAAAAATGGAAATAGAACTGCCATACGACCCAGCAATCCTACTGCTGGGCATCCACACCGAGGAAACCAGAAATGAAAGAGCCACGTGCACCCCAGTGTTCAGCAGGCAGGGTTTCGAACCACAGGAAAGAGGAGCAGATGAAAGTTCTGAAGAAGGCGACTTCACTCGTGGAGGCCACGGCATGCACAGGGTGTCTCAGAAAACGAAAGGAGGACGGAAGCGAACACTCTGCCTGGCCCATCCTGGGCACCTCGCTCTGGCTCGAGACGCCAAAGGCGCCGCAGCAGCAGCACTGGCTTTGTGCCCAAACGTTCTCCCTGCAGGAGGGCCGCGGCCGCTCGCTCCTTTCCTTCTGGTCTCTCCGCAAAGGTGAGCTCGCCACACGGGCCTTTCCTGGCCCCCAGAGCCAGCACATCTGCACTGCGGTCTGGGCAACGCATGGAGCTTCAATCACGGTGTTCTGAAGCAGTAAGACTCCCCCTGCTCCAGAATTCCTGTTTATTCACTGCTTGTAACAGTCACTCACCGGAGGCTGAACCTGGCAGACCCATCGTGGCCGTCAAACCCTACACTTTGCTCTCTCTTTTGTAACACAGTGCCAGGAAATACGTAAGTGAGGAGAAGCAAAGCAAGCGCTGAGAAATGAAGTCTCATTTTGAAACGTAACTCGTACTTTTCACCCATTCTAGCTAAATCTGGAGGTCTCCCTCAGGCCAGGAAATCTAACGGCGCCTGCCCCATGTGCCTGATGCCTCTGCGCCGCCTCAGCCCTCCGCAGCGCCGCCTCAGCCCTCCGCAGCGCCGCCTCAGCCCTCCGCAGCGCCCTCTCNCTCCGACATGCCCTTGGGAATTCACTAGGATCTGCTGGCTGACTCGCTGGGGTTCGAGAGCCGTCCTCCAGGGGAGAGACGAGCTTGGAACAGGGTCAGCAGGGGCTGTCGTCTCTTTAATCTGGTGCTAGCGCGAGCACCTCTGCCCCCCGTCCCGTCCTGGTGCTTGTGTTAAAAACATGAAAAATGCAACAGTAACACTTTATATGGAAAGTCACCTGTGAAAAAATCCTCCTTCAAAATTGGAACGTAGTATCTGTGGTAAAATTTGAACTTGTAAGAGAAAGAATCATTAAAGATGACTCCCACGCTGTAAGAGAAAGTGTCTAGCATTATTTCATCCATGGCTTTCTCATCTGGTGCGGCAGTGATTCTTCTTCCTGTGAATTGTGTGGTAAAAAAAAAAAAGACATAGAGGATTGTTAGAGTTTCACCATAACAGAACGTGATATTCAACTTTGCCATCACCTGTTTTCCATTGGAATCAACTAAAATTATTCTACCTTTAAATTAACTTTATCCCAAAAGGCAAAAACAAAAAGGAATCTTTTGTTGTCATTTTAGATTCTAGAATCAGGAGATACGCATGAGAATTAACTTTTTTCCTTCATAATGGCAGGCATTAAGGCAAATTTTAGGTGTATAAAACGGTTATGCCAAGAAATAAGTATGTATTAGAGAATAGGGGTACAGAAATATAGGTAACTGAAGCAGTTACTATGTGGTCAGAGGACTCCAGACTTTAGCTTCACTAAGCAGACGGACTTCATATGGTCTTTGCCTTCTACAGGGACCAAGAGCACAGAGTGACTTTAACAGCAAGCAGGGTAGCGTGTTCACACCCAGAGTTTAAGGGTCGAGAACCAGACTGCAGCCAGCCCGCCCACGAGTGAGAGGCACATTTTGGTTCTGTTAGTTACGCAGAGGCCTCCTTTCGGACGAAAGCCCTGAGGGTCATCCCTGGCAGTCCAGTGGTGAGGGCTCCGAGCTTCCACTCAAGGGCACGGGCTTGATCCCGGGCTGGGAACTAAGATCCCGCAAGCCGCATGGTGTAACCAAACAGCAGAAATCTAGAGTGAAGGACTTTAACGATGTTCACAAACTATACCACATGCAGACAGAATGTCCTTAGATTATTCACCCTTAGTTTTCACAGTTTTGAGACTAATGTTACAATAACCATATCTAATTTCTTTTATTTATATGGTTTTTCCTAAATTATAAGTATTAATCATTATATATCTATGTTAAAAACACCCACACTCACCAATAACATATTCCTCCTAGGCAGTATTCTGCAAATATGAAATTATAAAACTATTTATTTATTTAAATTCCAATAGAAATGGAGGCCTCCCCAAAGTAGACCCTCATCAAGCCAGAAGGGTTTCAAAGGTTAATAGTTAAGGCTAAACAAGAGGAAAGAACTGACAAAGATCTGCTATCTCGATATCTAGATAATCAGCATCATAGTTAACAGTGACTTCAAATAAAAAATGCATACATTTTATAAAAAACATAAAGATGTGGTACATATATACAATGGAATGCAGATCAGCCATAAAAAGAACGAATGCTGTTTGCAGCAACGTGAATGCAGAAATGATCCTATTAAGTGAGTCAGGAAGAGAAAGACATACACCATATGATATTGCTTATATGTGGAATCAAAAAAAGGACACAAGTGAACCTATCTATGAAGCAGAAACTGACTCTCAGACATAGCGAGCAGACCTGTGGCCGCTAAGGAGGAAGGGGGTGGAGCAGAGACAGACTGGGAGTTCGGGATTAACAGACACAAACTTTTACATATAGGATGGATATACAAGGTCCTACTCTATTGCTATATTCAAAATCCTGTGATAAACCATAATGGAAAGGACTAGAAAAAAGGAATGATTATATGTGTATAATGGAGTCACTGTGCGGTACAGCAGAGGCTGTCACAATACTGTAAATCAACTGTACTTCAATAAAAAATAAAAGAATAAAACCAGTAATAGTTTTTGGCCATTAGCATACCTACCTTTCATAACGGGAGCACATGCTGTCTTATTCATTATCTGCTGGGTCAAGTTGGAGACTGGTGTATACACAACATCCGTAAAAGACCTGTTATATTTGTCTACCCTTCCCAGGTTCTGGGGAGGCATTCCAGGAAAATGGACATTTTTATTTAAATGTGAAAATATGCACATGTAAAGTGCTAACAGTATCAGGAACCCCCATTCCTATGTTAAAAAAGAGAGAGAACAAATTTAGATTGTATTCCCTTAAGGAGCTCAGTCAACATAAGAGAACAATTGAAGACAAATTCCCATTTCACCACGTCATTGGGTTCTCTCTGCTGTGGCTCTTCAGAGCAATGGGACCCAACCAAGTCACTCTCCACACAGGTCACTCTCTAACGCTGGAACTAAACTTCTGCATTAAATCACGAACTACTGCGGAAGTCACTCCAGAGCCCCCAAGGATGGCGAACAGGCCAACAGTCCTTATATGCATGGGCAGGTGGTCCCAGAGTCTATAAGATGCAGGGCACCCCAGAAGGAGTTCAAGGTGGCAAAGAGCAACATTCTGCCAGCTGTCGTATCCACGGGCATCCCTGTGGCTCAGTGGTAAAGAATCTGCCTGCCGGGACAAGGAGATAAGGGCTTGATCCCTGGGTTGGGAAGATCCCCTGGAGAAGGAAATGGCAACTCACTCCAGTACTCTTGCCTAGGAGATCTCACGGACAGAGGAGCCTGGTGGGCTACTGTCCATGGGGGTCCATGGGGGTCGCAGAATCAGACTTGACTTAGCAACTAAACCATTACCACCACCACCCTATCCATGAGAAGGGGCGGAGTGGTAGAGACTGTCTAGTGGCTCATCGGTATTCATCATCTCTTCCTGTTTGCCACGATGCTAGATGGCCTTCCCTGCCTCTGCAAAGTAAGTGGGACCAAATGCTTGAGTTCTGGCCAGTGGAATGTGGGCAGAGATCCACACCGTTTCCAGGCCTGGTTAATGGAGCCCTGCGCAAGCCTCCCTTCTCTCTGTCTCAGTCCTGCCACTTCCTGAGGGTCCAGGGAGTGCCTCCAGAGTCTTGCGCGATCAGTAGCGGAGTCGCTCGATGAAGGAGCCTGGGGCCTGTGTGTCTGTGTGGGGAGGATCCCTCCACCCACCCAACCCACGTCCTTTTCCCCGACAGCCTTACTTGGACTGCAAAGAGTGGCCAACAAACCTATGCTGCCTTAAGCTGCCGAGACGCGGGGCTTTAACGCACACCGGCCATCAGTGGGGTCACTTGGTCACAATTTTTGGAAATAATCTCTGTGTATAAAATTTATGGCCTTACAAATAAATGCCCCCAATTACAATTCTCTGTTTTTGCAGATGCTGTGGTTAGTATTCCTCTAAATTTATTGCCCATGATAGCAGCTTTAATAGTGGCTATGTGCTCAGTCACTCAGTCGTGTCTGATTCTTTGTGACCCTGAGGACTGTAGCCCACCAGACTCCTCTGTCCATGGGATCTCCCAGGCAAGAGCACTGGAGTGGGCTGTCACTTCCTTCTCCAGGGGATCTTCCCGACCCAGGGATTGAACCTGGGTCTCCTGTATCTGCAGGCAGATTCTTTATTACTGAGGCACCTAGGAAGCTCAATAATTGCTTATACTCTAATTACCACATAATTAGATTTTAGTTACTTTCCCTTTTAAAAAAAATATGAGGAAAACTTTGTCTTTGCAGTTGTGGGTTATTTTTCAGAGACTATTGTGAGTCTCTCAATTCCAATAACTAGAGAGAAATTCAAAGTCAATAAAGGCAGTTTTCACAGATGCAGAGAACAAGCTGGTGGTTTCCAGTGGGGAGAGGGAAGGGGGTAGGGGCAATATAGGGGTGAGAGGAAAAAAGGGTTATCACAGGAGCCAACTCATCAGAAAAGACTCTGATGCTGGGAATGACTGAAGGCAGAAGGAGAAGGGGCCACTGAGGGTGAGATGGTCAGATAGCATCACCGACTCGAAGCACAAGAATCTGAGCAAACTCCGGGAAGTGGTGAAGGGCAGGGAAGCCATGCTACAGTCCACGGGGTCGCAAAGAGTCAGACACAACTTAGTAACTGAACAACAACGAATAGGATTATATGAAATTGTGTGTGTGAACCTTTTGAAAATTGTAAAGCCCTACAGAATTTAAAGAATCTTTCATTCAATAAAATGAAATACATCCTTATAGCTCCTCAAAAAACAAAATAAAATAAATGCAGTCTGCTACTTAAAATATAAGAGAACCATGAGGCAATGAAATAAAAGAATACAGCTAACTGTGAAAAGAATCAAAACGGTCAAACATACCAACAAGTTCTCTCTTTTCATCCTCCATTTCTTCAGTAGATTCTTGCACAGAAGTGCTTGAGTTTGCTGGTATATACTTTTCTGTTTCATATGCATTTAGCCTGTTCATTAAATAAAGAGAAAGTAGATATGGTGGAGGATAAGCTAGAAAAGTAAGTGTAATAAGAAAAAAGCCTTGGTCACATTTTGAGGGAAAATATTTCCTACCTTTAGGATCTTCAAAAAAAGGGATTTAAAATATTAGTTCAATAATCATGATTATAAAATTTTACATCAAATATATGCTGTTTGGGAGATGAGTACTGGTAAGGAAGTAGAGCGGACCATTTACACAATTTTACAATAACATTGAAACACTGGAAAACATAGAATAAAATTCTGAACCTGGAAGATACTTCCCATTTTGACATTTTATAAAAGAAATTCAATTATATGAATAGAATAATTGAATAGTATCTCATCTGACTCATAATTTTTGTTCTTTACTTTTGAAAAGAAATTCCAGAGCTAATTAAACTAGCATAAAAATTCTGATAACTTAAATTCATCTAAATAATTAATTATGTCCATTAGAAGCAATCCCAAGGAAGTACTTTCTTTTGATATTTACCTTCCTGATTGAACCGAGCGACTTTTATCCAAAGAGTTAGGCCATGGAATAATTATCCAGACTCAAGTGACTTGAAACTTGATTCTGATAAACAGGAAGCATAAAACAATTTACCTCAATTTTCAGAATTCAAATGTCATTAAATAACTGAGGAAAAAATACTATAAAGTAAATGGAAAAAAGAAAGAAAGAGAGAAAGAGAAAAAAAAAACAGAGAGAGGAAAGAAATCACACAGTAATTTTGCCCAAATGTTTGCAAATAAAATGTCTTTCAGTTTTCATATCAAAATACTCTAGATGAGTCTCCCTTAGCTGGTACAGAAGCAAATTCTACTGTTTTCCTATGTTCTATTATATTATCTACACAACGAAAGTTGGCTGGGAAAAAACAAACGTTTTGTCGTTAGGTCTTCAGTACAGAACACACCAAGTATTTGGAAACATCTGGAAAATAGATTGATTTTCGCAGCGTCCACCCGAATACTTGTCACAGCACAACTAAACGGATCTCTACTTACTGTCAGGATCATGAGAGAAAAAGTGCCCTGGAAACAGGGTCAAAGCTCGCTCTTTTGCCTGAGGCAACAATGAAAGGTCGTTATGGCCACTTCTTCCTCTATTCCTTCAGTGGAGGCTCACTCCAGCAGCTCTCACCCAGGCTGGCTTCTGAGCAGGGGCGGAGCTGGACCAAGCTGCTCATGATGAGCTTGTTTTGTTTTCTGTCTTTTCTTCCCCAAGCCAATTATTCTGCAGGGAAATGACTGTTCCGTGGTTGGTTAGGAATTAAACAAGCCCCGGGTTTGTTCACTTGGCCTTTCAACTCCAGGGATCAGGGGAGATAGTAAACAAGGAAAACAAAATTAGCTCTGCTGCTGTGATGAGACCAAGATGGGATAAAAGGCAATGAATGAGCGACTAACCAAACAAAATGATTAAATTTGTATGAGAAATCTTTAGCCGTTTTTTTTTTCTTCTCACTACTAACACCTAAACGTGGTTGCCGTTGACACATCTGACTAACGCGCACTACAGAACGTTGCTGCACTGCAGGAGCTGAGTTGTTTTCTTTTTTCTTTTTCCCTAAAAAAGCTAAGCAATGCATAGTCTGCCTTGGAGAAACATCTAAGTTGGACTAGGGAGGAATTATGAACGAATTCCTTTCTCCTGCTCCTTGCATCATGGATACAGGATTTCATAAGGCATCTGAGCAAAACAAAAGTAAGTGGATTGCTAAGGACTGAAAAAAAAAAATTAGGAAAAGATTCAGGTCAATTTTTGTATGTGAAGACTAGGGGAAAAAATTGAAATGTATTCAATTCCCGTTGTTATCGTCTATCTTTGTAAAGAGTGACAAACTTTTCTTGACCCGCCAAAGTAAACCACTGAGACCAAAGTCTGTGAATTGGGAAATCTCAAATATTTGACATAGCTCCCAAGGCACAGATGTTAATATTCATGAAGCTGAGACATGTTCTGGAGAAAAGAGGTATAATTTTAAAACAAACATTTAAAGTCATGATATTTTGTATAGACATTTCTCTCCTTGGTAATTAGCTCTAGTTTTGAAAATAGTTAACAGTGAAACAGTATGTGTCTTTTACAGTAAAAACTGGCAAAAACATAGAAATGCAGATGTTCTAAATGTCTCAGGGAAGGGGGATGGGGTAGAAGTTTGTCAACACTGTTAAAAGTTTTGTATCAGTGAAAGGTCAATGACCCACAAAAAGAAACCTAAGCTTCCCTTAAATTGCTTGAAATATATTTTGGATTTTTATTAATTTTGTTCTTACACTTCTTTTAGACTCTGTAGACTCCCTGGTTGCTCAGCTGGTAAAGAATCCACCTGCAGTGCGGGAGACCTGGGTTCGATCCCTGAGCCGGGAAGATTCCCTGGAGATGGGAACAGCTACCCACTCCAGTATCCTGGCCTGGAGAATCCCACGAACTGTATAGTCTACGGGGTCGCAAAGAGTCGGACATGACTGAGCGACTTTCACTTCACTTCTTACACTTATATTAAGATTCACAACCACAGTATCAATAATTAGTTACATATATTTTACTAGTTTCACTTCTTATCATTGCTTCTTGAGTGTTCTTTCTATTCCTCTTTCTTGACATCCTTATTCTGATTTATTTTTATTTGGGGCGGGGGTGCTATTTTCCTTACTAAAACCTGAGGCAGTCACCATCAACACGACCTACTGTGATGAGGAAAGGCCTGACTTCCAGCTAGAAACACATCGAAATAGAGAGTAAAACGTGAAAGTTCAGGTGTATAACCAAACTTTAAAAATGAAGAAGAAAAAACAGAGGAAAATAAGAATCATTGGAAGAAACGGAAAGAAATGGAGGGACATTGTTACAGGCCAAACATGAGAAGTCTACACCGTGAATGCTGCGTCAGAAATGCGAGTCCAAAGAGGTGCATCCATACCCCGGGACCTTGACTCTGTCCGCCACAGGGTATAGAGCTGGACCTCGTACCTCTGCATGAATCTAGAAGCTTCACAGGACTGTGCAGTGCTCAACAGGCATTTTATAACAGGGGAAATACAGGGAATAAACAAGAAAAGGTATGATATTTTGTGGAATTGATGTGAGTCCTTAGATTAGAAAATCAATGTATCCTATGCAGAACTAAAAACAAAAATTCAACAACTATTTTGCTGTGAGTTCTCAAAACATGTGCTGTGCTGCGCTAAGGCACTTCAGTCGTGTCCAACTCTTTGTGACCCTGCGGACTATAGCCCACCAGGCTCCTCTGTCCGTGGGATTCTCCAGGCAAGAATACTGGAGTGGGCTGCCATGCTCTCCTGCAGGGTTTCTTCCTGACCCATGAGATTAAAAGACGCTTGCCCCTTGGAAGGGAAGCTGTGACAAACCTAGACAGCATATTAAAAAGCAGAGACATCACTTTGCCAACAAAGGTGTGTATAGTCAAAGCTATGGTTTTTCCAATAGTCATGTACAGATGTGCGAGTTGGACCATAAAAAAGGCTGAGTGCTGAAGAATTGATGCATTCGAACTGTGGTGCTGGAGAAGACTCTTGAGAGTCCCTTGGACTGCAAGGAGATCAAACCAGTCAATCCTAAAAGAAATCCACCCTGAATATTCATTGGAAGGACTAATGCTGAAGCTGAAGCTCCAATACTTTGGCCACCTGATGCGAAGAACTGATTCATTTGAAAAGACCCTGATGCTGGGAAAGATTGAAGGCAGGAGGAGAAGGGGACGACAGAGGATGAGATGGTTGTATGGCATCACTGACTCAATGCACATGAGTTTGAGCAAGCTCAAGGAGATAGTGAAGGACAGGGAAGTCTGGCATGCTGCAGTCCATGGGGTAGCAATGAGTCAGACATGACTTAGCGACCGAACAACAACAATAAAGTATGCATTTACTGTAAACAATTTTGTGAAAGAGGAAGCAGAGCTTTTGGTCCACTACACATTTCTTCAGATCTGCTGAATCCCAGCAATTCAGAATCTTAGAGAATTCTTAGAGATTTAGGAATCTTAGAGATTTCTATGATTTTGTAGAGTTGTAATTGCTAGTTGGGACCACAAATGAACTTGACATGGGAATGGATAATAATAGGATTTCATGCGTGTATTATGCCATTGGTTTCCTCTGAGGTTGTTGAGGGGACCCAAAGTTATTCAGGTTACTGTCCTCCACTGGAAATCTCCATTTCACCTAAAAAGGAGCCCTTGTGGGTGGGCAGGCATTTGAATGTGCTTGAATAAGGAAAAGACCCTGATGCTGGGAGGGGTTGGGGGCAGGAGGAGAAGGGGACGACAGAGGATGAGATGGCTGGATGGCATCACCGACTCCATGGACATGGGTTTGAGTAAACTCCGGGAGTTGGTGATGGACAGGGAGGCCTGGTGTGCTGCAGTTCACGGGGTCGTAAAGAGCCGGACACGACTGAGCGACTGAACTGACGGACTGAACTGAACAAGGGGGGGCGGGGGCGGCAAGGTGGTGGGACCAGGAGCACAGGTGTGGATCGTGGCCTTATACAGAGGAATGTTATTCCATCACACGAATGGGAATGAAATTCACATTAATGGGAAGAAAGTCTATGTGTGGTGCTGTTTAGTCACTCAGTCATGTCTGACTCTTTGCAACCCTATGGACCACAGCCTGTCTGGCTTCTCTGTCCATGGAATTCTCCAGGCAAGAATACTGGAATGGGTTGCCATGCCCTCCTCCATGGGATCTTCCAAACCCAGGGATTGAACCCAGATCTCCTGCATTGGAGGTAGGTTCTTTACCATCTGAGCCACCAAAGAAGCCCAGTGAAACCTGGTTGGATGCTGAGGTTGTGAAAGTATGTGAAGACATTCTCTTTTAATTGCTTTCATTTCACAGTCAAGAGGAATGCAAGGTCTTCTCCTGAGAGTTTAAGAAAAGAATGACAATCTGAGAAGCAATGTATTTGACTACATCATTGAGTTGGTTATCCAATTCAGTGAAAGAGTGACAATGTCGGGGGTGCAGTGGAGTTGGCAGGCAGAACTATGGCTCCACGTGAAGTCATGTTCATCCACTTAAATTGAGACTTTGGGGGGACTTCCCTGGTGGCCCAGTGGTTAAGAATCTGCCATGCAAGGCAGGGGATGCCAGTTCGATCCCTGGTGGGCAACTAAGATCTCACATGCCATAGAGCTACAGAGTTCGTGCCCTCTGGAGACCATGAGCCACTACAGAGAACCCACTCACTGCAACCGCCGCACCCAGGCACCTCACCCAGAGAAGTCACGCGTGGCAGTGAGAGACCCTGCCTGCTGCAACGAGATGCAAAGATCCTGCCTGCTGCAACGAGATGCAAAGATCCTAGAGAAGTCACGCGTGGCAGCGAAAGACTCTGCCTGCTGCAACGAGATGCACCGTGGCCAAATGAGTGAATGAGTAGATAAGTACAAAAAATAGAGTCCTTTTATTCATTTTGTTCATGTACGTCTTCTCCCAGTGTTGATCGCCTTCATACAGGTTTAACCAAAACCGGGGTGTTGCCTGGCAACTGTGATAAAGAGTGAGAGATCAGGCACTGAAGGTCTATACGAGGAAGGGTCTCCTCACGGAGGACCCCCACATGGAGACGGTTGATACCACTTCTCTCTTACCAGTGTGGTTTGGTCCGCTGGCTCCTAGATTAAGCTTTCAGGTCCATAGCAGAGAGTGTTCTCGGCGTGTTCAGAAAGAGGGTGGACTTTGCGTGGCCTGGCTGTCCAAGATTATAAACAAACCTGAATGAAGCAAAACAAAATATGTGGTCATGACTCACTTTCTAAAGAAGCTTTCGAGTAAACGAGAGCTCAGCAGCTTGGCAGCATGTTAGCGCTAGCCACGAGATTTCTGGAATTTTAGATGCAGCTGTCGCTTTATCCATCCATCTACTTCTTCCTCTTTTTTGCCTTTTCTCGTACAAGCTTCCACATTTTGCTTAACTGCTTTATGAAGAACATATACAGACACCTACCTGTGGCCGGAATCTCTAGGATCAAGTGTCAGGATTGTAACAGCATTGCCCAAGGACAGACTTTCAGCATGAGGAGTTCGAGTCTGTAAATTTCCCCAGCTGCCAGCATGTCGGCACTCACTCAGACCTCTGGGGGATCTGGCTGGGCTTGGCACTGCTCCAGGCTGCTGTTATCCTCGGTCTGGAGCCACACGGGGGAGGGCCGGCTGCTCGGGGCCCAGCCCGTGAGCCTGGCGAGAGGAGATAAGCTGGCCCCGCAGAAGGGGAAACCGGTGTGAGCTCAGCGAGCGCGCCTGAGTGTAACTCATGCAGAGTGCAAAACGGCACTTTTGAAGAATGTCCCTGCTTCTGGAGTTTGTGTTCCTCTCTTAGAGAGCTTTGCTGACTCTTCTACTAAGGCTCAATCTTTCTTTAGTCGAAGTCTCCTCTTCCAGCCAATAACTTTTTCCACATCACACAGAGGTCTAGATCGCTCAGCAGAACGGTCAGTTGTCACGGACCCTCCTGGAAGCCGATTTGGTCAATGTTACTTTTTTCTTTTTTTTTTGCAGCTTCCATTGTGTCCTATGTGGTCATCACACTGATGGTGTTAACTGATGAGACGACTTTTTTCACTCCATGTGACCCTCAAGCTGGCTCTGAGGAGGGAGAAATACAGTATCATGTCCCTGGGAGAATGAACCTTTTTTTCCTAGGACTTCTCTTCAGTGCCAGCTGAGACATCCCCGTAGCTTGCTCATGCCTCCAGGACTGCCCCCCTGAGGAGGGAGAACAGAACAGGGGGTTTTCAAATTCCACTCCCTTCCCACTGATCACACTGTTCATCCATCGGAGAGAGCGATCTATGTAAGCCATCTTTTTTGGTTTCTTTTTTTCATTTTACCGATAGCAAATAGAATCAAGGTCTGTGGCTCAGTGGTAAAGAACCTGCCTGCCGATGCAAGAGACTTGAGTTTGATCCTTGGGTCAGGAAGATCCCCTGGGGAAGGAAATGGCAACACTCCGGATTCTTGTCTGGAGAATCCCATGGTGAGAGGAGCCTGGCAGGCTGCAGTCCATGGGGTCACGGAGAGTCGGACACCCTGAGCGTCTAGACAACAGCAACAGCAAACACAGTGAAGTGAACTCTGGAAACGGGCACTTGAGCTGTCCTGATTGCCAGCAGCTTCGAATCCCTTCATCGGGAGATTGCTGCTGTGGAGGGGCTGACATCCATGGCGAGTCGGGCACCGGGCTGCAGAGTGCCCGAGACACTGCAGGGAGCCTCACGTTGAAAGCCCAGGCGCGGACAGAACCTCCGAACCAGGCATCCCAGCAACGGACTCCACGGGAGCAGGCAGACGGTCACCAAAGACCTACATGCCACTGCCTCAGTTGCAGCATTATTGACAAAAGGGAGGTTTAGAAAGAACCTAAATATCTTTCAATCAATTTTCAACTAAATATTGTGGGTACATCCAAACCCTGAAATAACACACAGGCATCACAATCAATGACATACAAATATAATCAAATGAGGAGGTGTGATGTTCATAGGATGTTGTTAAATAAGACAATTTGAAAACAAGGGACTTGCTAGTATCCTATGTGTATAGGATAGAAAAATGTATGAACTAAGCAAGAGAATGTCTATAGCTTAGACTGCTTTACATTGTATGATTTTTTATAGCAATCATGTATTATGTCAGAATTATTTTAAATTATATTTTAGAAAACAGAAAGGATTAAATGTGCCATCAGAACCATTTTTAAGCGTACAATTCCATGACATTAATCACATTCCTAATATTGTGCAACCATCATCCCTATCTGGTTCCAAAACTTTTTCATTATCCAAAACAGGAAATCTGAAACTATTAACTCTCCATTCACCCTGCCCCTAGCCCATGGAACCTTTATTATTCTTTCCACTTCTGTGAATTTGCCTATTCTAGATATTTCCTATAAATGTTCCTATTCATACAATACCTGTGTCTAGTTTATTTCAAGCAAATCTTATACATATATTTTACAACAATTTTTAAAAACCGGATGGACTGAGACATTGAGAATTTCTGGGCAAGAAATGTCCATTCATTTTGTCTGCAGCTGTCAGTTTTCTCTCATTATTGGGGTAGAGCTGCTTTACGATGTCGTGTTAGTTACTGCTGTAGAGAGACGTGAGTGAGCGATGTGAACACACGCCACCCCCCACCCCGTGGGGCTCCCTCCCACCCTCGCCCCCAGACGTGTGAGCACCGCCTCGCGTGAAGCAGCCGCGGGAGCCTTCACGGCACCCAGAGCTCAGCTCAGCACTCCATGGGGACCATGAGCATTTTCAGTCCCATCCAGAGCCATCCTGTGCATCATCCGAGGCACTGGCTTCTGTATCCAACCCATCAGCATCTGCTCTGCTTCTGACACCGTGCGTTACAAACATCTGGGTGTTGGCAACGCCCGTGAGCTCTGCCTCCGGCCACCCTGCCATCTCTCTGCTGCCTCTGATGCTTTTCAGGGTGGCCTCTGTGTCGGTCGGCTCTCCTGCCGCTTTGGGAATAAGCCACATTTTGCACAGACCTTGTTGTGTGCCTGACCTTGCTGTCTGCCTGATCTCCTGTTCTTCCCAGCTGTTCCACTGGCCCCTTTTAGACTGACTTCCCACCAGGTTTATTGAGATATAACTGACATAAAGCATTGTATAAGTTCTTAAGATATACAAAGTGTTGATCTGATACACTCCTATATCGCAAAATGACGACGTGTGTTAGGGAACACAACGTCATGCAATTGCCAAGACATCACATAATTACCATTTTTTTCCTGTGGTGAGACTGTTTAGGATTTACCCTCATAGCAACTGTCAAGAATGTAATATTTTTAACGAAGGTCATCCTGATGCATATCAGATCCCCGGGAGTATTCATTTATCACTTGAGGTTTACATCCCTTGACCAGTGTCTCCACATTTCTCCCACCCTCCACCCCGGAAACCACGGCTCTACGGCTTCTGAGTTTGGCTTCCCTAGACTCCACACTTCAGTGATATCATATAGCTTTGTCTTCCTCTAAGTTCACTAGCATGATGCCCTCAAGGTCCTTCTACGCTGTCACCCATGGCAGGATATCCCGCTTTCTTGTGGTTGAGTAGTGTTCCTGTGTGTGTGAGACCTTCTTTATCTGCCAAAGGACACCCAGGTGCTTGCTCATCATTGCTCTTGTGAATGACGCTGCAGTGAACGGGGAAGGGCAGGTACCTCTTCAACATCCTGTTTTCAGTTCCTTTCGATACATAACCTCTGGTGGGCTTGCCGGATCACACGACTGTTCCGTTTCTAACTTTTCAAGAACACCCATCCTGTTTTTCACAGCAGCTGCACCCGCTGCCACCCCCACCACATCACACAGGTGTTCCTGTCTCTCCACATCCTGGCCAACACGTGCTATCTCGTGTTTCTGATGACACAGGTTGGCTTTTTCAGTTGGGATTCCTGGACCACATGGATAGAATTCTTGTCCTGCCACTAAAGCACAGCTCAGACTTTTTTCCCAGCCAGTGTCTGGACCAGCTTCCCAGGAGGTGCGTGTCTCCTGCCCCAGCCTGAGCGGCCTTCCACAGGAGCTGGCTTCATGCAGAATCGTCGTCCTAAGTCCTTGCTTCTCACCCGCGATAAACCACCGCAGCTCAGGTGGGCACGCACATCCCACTCGCACTCTTAGGGGTTGATACCCGGGTTCAGTATGATGCTGGGCCCCTGCGACTCAGGCTGAAGCTTACTGAACTTAAGGTATTGAAGTGGTTTTGTCGTATTTTACCTGAAATTTCATGCATCTGCAACGGGAGGGAGGGCTGTGTGGAAGGACACACTCTATGCAGGAGTCGAACTCCGATGGGTTTCATTGAACACGAAGAACGCAGTGCTTCTCAGCTGCTTCAGGGGAAACGCCCTCCAGAGGGTCCAGGCCAGGGCACTTCTTTTTTTTTAAAGATCTCTGTATTCATTTATTTGGCTGCTCCGGCTCTTAGCTGCGGTACTCAGAATCTTTGGTCTTTGTGGCGGCGTGCAAACTCTTAGTTCCCTGATCAGGGATGGAACCTGAGCCCCCTGCGTTGGAAGCACGGAGTCTCAGCCACTGGACCGCCAGGGAAGGCCCCAGGGTCGTTCTCAACGGAGGGCTGAGCGTCATTTGGAGGGCGGATCCAAGGGCTCGCATTTAGCCTGTGTGCTGTTGGTTGTAAAGATAGTGCAAGCAGAAGCAAAGCCAATCTCAAGCTTCAGCTCTTCGGAACGTGAACTGGGAAAGGGAGGAAGCCAAGGACCACGGAGAGAGGCGAAGAGGCAGGAGGGACGGAGTCGGCCGCGGCCTTGGGCGAGACTTGAAGCGAGCAGGACTTGAGGCGGAAGGAGGCGGCTGGGCGCAGACGCCTGAGCCCGGTCCCTGGAGGAGGAGGTCGGCCTGTCATGACGCACAGCAGCGCTTGGGGGCGCCACTGAGGCCGCACACGCTCCAGGTCAGGGACACGCGGGGGCATCTGCCTCCAGGAAGACCTCCAGGCCGGCTCTCAGAGGCCTGCTGCTCTTCTGGGCTACGCCTGGGATTACAGCAAGTCCCTCCTTACCTGAGTCAGCAAGTGCAGTCTAGTTCTTGTCACTGGAGAAAGCCCAGGTACCCAGGAAATGCTACCAGGTATAGAGATTTGTGAAATACGAAATCCCCAAGGATGTGGGGATTTTGCAACTAGTTAAGACATCGTGCTAAAAACACGGAGAAATTCTACCTATTATTCCCAAACGGTGCTTTCTCGGTGGTCATACCATGCCTTCTCTGTGGCCATGGGCACCAGCCGGAAAGCCATCATTTTAAGGGTAGAAGGAATGAAGCCCAGCAGAGTTGCATGGTCTCCATTTATAGCAGCAGGAAATTTACAAAGGGAAAGTCCAGGGCGCCCTGCTCAAAGCAGCCAAAGAAATCTGCTAGGGGAGGTGACTTTGTCTGACAGCTGACGGTGTGCACTGGCAAACAGCTGCGTCCGAGGAAATCGCAGAGCCTGCTGTTGCCGTCTGACATTTCCTGTCCGACTGGAGTGAGGACGCTTGTGCAAAGTGGCAGGTGCTGCCTCTCGCCGGGGTCCTCCTGAAAGGAACCAGACGCGGTGCCACCAACGTCAGGCGTGCGCGACCCTGCAGCTCGCCCCCGCCTCCTGCTGCTGGCGCCCCTTCAGCTCCGCCGTCCCCACCTCTGTCCCGCGGCTCGTGACTCTTCCCGCCCGCTCCGACGGCGGCCCTACCGTACTACGGCACTTTTCAGCGTCCTGAACTGTAAGGTTAAAAGCGCTTTACTTTAGGTTCACTTCTAAGGTATTATTTGTGTGAAAAGTATTACAAACCTGCAGCAGTGCAGGGCTGTACAGAGGACTGTTAGCTGGGTACCTAGGCTACCTCTGTCGGACTTTTGAACAAATCGGACGTTCGAACATGCTCTTGGAATGGAACTCGTTCGTGTCTAGGGGACTAACTGTAATGTATATGAAATAATATCTGGCTTGAAATAACGTGTCACGTTTTTATGCACACTTCGAGCATTCTCCTGGGCCAGGAGGAAGCTGCTGCTCTTCACTGAGCCCCTTGTTTTGACCAGTGGTGATGATCCGTCACAGCCACGAAACAACCCCCAGCCCACCAGTAGAGGTGGAAAGAGCCGTTTGGAACAGTCTAGGTAAGGGGACAAATCTCACCTCTCAGTCTGCGCCAAGCTGGAGACAAAGGAGCTGATCCCAGAGCAGATAAGAGACGTGAGAGATGAGCAAGGTCAGAGTCAACAAAGAGCCTGAGACGGAACGTTCCTGCTGCTTCCTTGGCTCAGAGGCCGAGGCGGACACTGACTTTTTCTACGGGTCAGAGGACAGTCAGCGAAGTCTCACAG